ACCTTTTCCGAGGCAATAGTGATCTCGCCTTTCATACTGAAGCCTTTGTCAAGAGACGTCTTTCGCTGTCAATGGTACCGGCACCTTCGGTACTGATATTGGGGCTGGGAGAGTACGCCGTGTCCTTCGGTCGACCGACGGAACAAAGATACGAAAAAATGTTTCAACCCTTACTCTATAAACGAATCTCATTCTTTATTTAGGATTGTTTGTTATTGTTAAAACACCACACAACTTTGGTAATCTTTTTTTAAATAGTTATTTACTGGTTGTTATCTTTAATAGGTTATTATATTTTTTGATTCTTTCTGCAGAAGCTACAGTCGTTATTTATTCTTCTTTCAAGTTTATTACTGAGCTTGAATTCTGTCACCCGCGATTAATGATAAGATCATGTTAGTAATTGTAAAATGGAGTTTACGTTGATAATAATAATAATAAAAAAAAAAAACAAGAACACATATTTCATGACAAAAAATACCGAACAAGCTCAACTAAAATATATGTACGTGAAACCTGTTTATAACTAACAATAACCTCTACATTCGTATCCATGCTATTAGATACACATTTGACAGAAACTCGAAGTCATACTGACCATTCACAATCTAAAGTAACAGCATCTTGCACTTGGGTAATGTTGAAATTATTTTGTTGCCTGCAAAAGTTCTTCTTCTCTTACTAAAAGTAAATTCCATTTTTTTAACTACTATTTTGCATTACATTACTGTTCAGTTTGAAAGGTTTGGTAAAAAAAAAAGTGTTAACACCAGGTTGTTTTTGCTCAATATGTATTTGGCCTAGTTTCACAGTATTTGTAATGATATAGTTATGGGATGAGAAAGAATTAATAAAAGAAATTATACAAATTATAACCATAAATAATTAGCATGAATCATGTCCAATGAAGGAAAAAGCCTTTGTTTTCTGATGCATGAGAAAATTTCTGTAATCAAATATATCAAAAGATTAACTATTCCCTAGATGGATAATTCGCTGAAATGAACTGAATAGGCATTTTATAATATCCAACGTTTTGTACTACCTAAATAAACCGTCTCGTTAGGTTTTGATTTAACCATTGTTATATTAAAGTAGTTAAGTAATTTTAATTAATTGCATAAAACATTAACAACATAATGATTTTATAAATAGTTTAATACTACATCAGTTAGTGTTGTATTTATCCAAACCACCTTATTTGAGACAAATATTCCTATTTAATTCTAATCAAGTCAAAGGAGTGGTGAGTAAGCTGTGTTGTTTTTGAAGAGGAAATTTGCATTCAACTAAATGAAGTAGTTTTGTTTGTTGGACAAAGTGACGTTGCTAAACTAAGCAGTGCAAGTTTATAATGCTGACGAGTTGCAGCATGTCCAAAGTATATCACTGGCTTTTTATCTCAAGTGGCTGTTTTACGGTTATTCCTGAACTTCCTGAATTGCAACTGTGAAAAGCTTAACAAAACATACTTTTTCTAAACATTTTTGTCACTAAAAAAATTATCAACAAAAAGTAAATTTCCTAACATATTTTAAATGGGAAAAAATAATAGTTAAATAAAAATAATGTAATATTCATATGAATTGTGTACTTAAGTTTACGACGGAATAGTACAAAATATAGTGTTTATTGCATGCTTTATGTTAAATAAATGCAATTGTTTTCCTGTAAGAGTGTTTTTTTTTTTTTTATAATGTATTATGCTTTTCGGTCAATCTATTTATACAGTAGCACCAAAAAACTAAGGTTACACCCGTTAATGACAAATGTGATAGTAATATATATATATATATATATATATATATATATATATATATATATATTACCAATTAATAATCTTGATTATGTTTTATTCTTTCAAATGAAGTATTACACTTTAACTGAATCAATATATATTATATCATCCTTTATGATTATGTTATTAGCTTATTATTAATTTTCTCAATAAAAACCTTTATTAAAATAGCAGCGAAACTTTGGTTACAATTAGGTCTTACTATTTACAACAACCACAAACTTAAAAATAATAGTAATAAACGAAGAATTAACTGGAAAATAAATTCAATCCGAGACGATAAAAGGTTCGAATACGTTGTTATTTTTCAATTAAATGAAACTGAAGGTCGTGTGAATTTGTTTTTGGTGGGAAAATAAATCCGATTCTTTGGGGATTGATGGCTTGATTGAAAATTGTGATAACGTCTGACCAGCTAACGTTGTGGCTGTTTTGTGGTTTGAAATAAAAGTACCAGTTTAAAATAAAAAATGGTTTGAAATAAAAATAAGTTTAAAAAAACATATTTCAATGGTTCTTATGACAATAGAAAAAAAATATGTCAAAAATAGCAATGCGTGGAATTTAGTTATTTGTATAACTAGCTGTGTTGATAATTATTTTACTTATTCACTCTTTTCTATTTTCTCTATGGGCTCTGTAGCCTAGATCGTTTTAAATAGGCGGTGTTCATAGTTTTTACTAAATTCTACCAGTGCAGTTCAACTGAACCGGCTGGCCCCTTCCTTACTTACCTAACACTCATAGTCTTGAGGGCAAAGCAATATTAACAGTATATAATTAATGAAATCTCTCTTAAAAAGCGTTTTTAATCAAGTAAAGCTCACCTTGATTATGTTTTATTCTTTCAAAAGGAAGTATTACTCTTTAACTGAATCAATTTGGCCAAGGACCAAAAGGATCAATTCTCTATTCAGCAGTAATGCTGTTTTGCCAGTAAATCATAACTTGGCGATACGCTCCTTTTGTCAGCGCTGTATTTTGGCAATTTCCCTGAGTTTTCCACATATACATTTGTTTTTACCCATGTGTTTTGTTACAACAAAGATATATGTGGGTAAAAACCAAGTTGCAAAAAGCTCTAGTGCAGTGGTCCTGTTTAAATAAATGGAGCCACTTAACTGTGCAAGAAAAATAAGTAAAAATTATAGTTATTTTACTATCTGTTACAGACGAAGAAAAGACAGATTTTTTTGTTTAGGGGGAAGTGCAAAAGTTGACATTAGATGATGCCCTCTTATACACATTTTATGTTAGTAAGCGATGGGTAGCTCAATTTTGCATTTTCATCTACACCTAGCTTATAGAAATATAAGGCAACCAAAGAAACTTGCATACAGGTCCCCGGAAGAATATGAAACCTTAGACAATAGCATATGTATCACCAATATGGATGGCAGATATTTGTTTTTAAAAAGCAATACCTTTATTACAACTTGAACTTGAAAATAAGTTTTAATCAATAGCAAGGAAAACGGTAGAAAAGGGAATTATTGTTATGAAAAGGAGTACAGCTTAATTAACGGAAGTAAATGTCACATTAGTCACTGGACTGTCAGCCAATATTTATATTAATTTAAGTTTAGGATGCAAATCAAAGAAACTATTGGACTACCTTCTTTAAGTATATTAAATTAAAGTTTTCTTTCAAAAGTAAAATGTAGTTACAAAAAGAAAGCCAATACATTTTTTTATAAGCAAGTATCAGCAAAGATAATTTTAATGAAAGTCTAAAATCTTGGTTGTTATAATTATTGTAATAGATGGTTACTGTTGAGTTTTATATGTAGGACTAATGGTGTAAACCTACGTTTATTCGGACTAGTTCGCGAACCAGCATGATCGGACTTTGGTAAAGGGGGTTAATTGGGGGTTTTATGGGGTAAAAATTGGTTTTTCCCACTTTTGACCCTAACAACACAAATTTCACCATTTCTTTTCAGACCATTTTGTAGAGCTTAAAAAAAGAAGTAATGTAGTATATTAAAGCGTTGTTATATGCCTAACTGTTACGGAGATAATTAAAAAACATTAAATTTAAAATTCTTATGTTATTCTTATGGGGAATAAAAAACTGATGCACACTTACTTGTGTATGGATGTATTTTTATCAAATTTGGCAATTTTGTTTATTTTATACTGAGCTATCAACATTTGAAATAAAAACACACCTCAATACCCTTCCTTTAGCAGCAAGCCTAGGTACTCATTAAAATTAATTTTATTTCAATAGGAAATAAATCTGACAATTTTCAGGGTATATTTTAGTAGAAATCTAGCCAGGTTAATAGAAATTCACTTAGTCTGCAGGTTTGCTGCGGCGGGGTATTTTATTTTCATATAGAAATGTTTGCGTGTTAGTTTCATAATCTATTTATTCTGAAGTAAACATAAAATGCAAGTAAATACTTCCTATAATAAAAAAAAACAGTGCATAGGTTTTTATATATTTATGTTATCCAGCTATGTTTCATTGATTTTCAAAATACACTCCCTATCCTTTACTATATTTATATTTGCAGTGAGAGCCGTGCCGATTTGAAATACGTGAGCTTGACTATTACAAAAGTTTACTTTATTAAAATTATTTCGTTCTTTTTAGAGCGTTTGAAGTAGGTTTTTTGAAAAAGATTATTATTTAATGCTTTTTAGTAACTGTTTAATTTGTTTATTATATTATTTGAGCGGAGCGAAGCGAAGCTCTTTGGGATCAACTTCAATGTAAACTTTCTAACACATAAACTCAATAACAGCTGAATATATTTTATTCAAACTTACTACGGTTGTTTTGTCAAATGTTTGGATGGTTTAGACTAACATTACGAGTACGATGATTAATGACACACTTGTGTATGAAACACTTGCGCAAAAATGCTGCTAGCTCACTTTATCTGTCGAACGTTTCACTAAGCATCTCGCGATGTTTCGTGTTGTTTTGTATGTGTTGCTGACGTGTTTTGTTCTAGTTACGTCTAACAAAGAAGAATACGAGACTTACACCAATCCTACACCGATTGTTTTGTGGCATGGTATTTATGATACCGCTCGATCAAAAGAAAATATGGAAAGTATAATTCGATATATAAGAGCTGAAATACCAGATGCCCACATCCATTCTTTGGTGATCGGTTCGTGTCCTTTTACGGAAAAGATGAATTCGCTGTTTATGGATGTGAACAAACAAGTAAATCTAGCTTGCAGGATGATCCTCGATGACAAGAAATTAGAAAATGGCTACCACGGCTTAGGGATCTCGCAGGGAGGGCAGTTTTTGAGAGCAGTAGCACAAAGATGTCCTCACCCTCCTATGTTTAACCTAATAACCATAGGATCACAACACCAAGGATATTATGGTGTAGGGCAAATCAAGAATCATGATATGGCGTTATACCTTGCAAAACACATCTCATACTTGGTTATCATTCGGAGCAACACTGTAGTTGCGCAAAACTGGCACGACCCGATTAACTACGAGACTTACGCCAAGAAGAACACGTTTATCGCAGACATTAACAATGAAAAGAAGAAAAAGAAGGAGGAGTACAAGACGCATCTACTGCGGCTTAAAAACTTGGTGCTTTTCAAGTTTACACGTGATGAAAGAGTGGTTCCACCAGACTCTTCTTGGTTTGGATTTTACACTAATGGGCAAGATAAGGAGATAACATAAATGAGAGAATCGCAACATAAAGAGGACTGGATGGGGCTGAAAGAGTTAGATGAAAAAGGAAGACATCTTGAGTTTACGAGTAGGTGGTTTAAACAAAAAATAGTGACAAAATCGTTGGCTCCGACATATTCACACCGAACGGACGTCGGGCGGAGACGTGGCACGGACGAAGCACAGACGTGGCAGTGACGTGGCGTGTTGAATGCACACCGAAGTGGCGGTGAAGGGACGGTACAGTGTCGAGACAACCTGTATGTTGACTAGACGCTTTGGTTTTTGCTTATTTCTATTAATGTCAATGGTGTTAGTTAATTTCTGTCAACTTAATTAGTACAAACAAGGGAATTGTTCTCCTTCCTCACAAAATTTGATATTAGATTCAATGCCGTCTCGCATAGTGAAGAAACAACTCACAATCTACACACGAAAACAACTCTACACAAGAAGGTTGGTAAGTAAAAGCACGCTATACACAAGAAGGTTGGTAAGTACAGTACAATATTTGCAGTCCGAACACCGGGCGCGCTACGGACATGCCACTTCCGATACGCCACGAGGGTCGCCGAAGCGGCCGCCCTCCCCAGATGTCCGTTCCTCGCGTCCCCATGTAAACAAATTGGTCAATGCACACACAAGTGAAGTGGCACTTTTTCATAATATTTATGAAATAAGCTAGGCGCCCACCGGGCAACTCAGCGGGTGACGCGGCGCGGCGCGGCACGGCGCGACGCGGAGAAAAACTTCCGTCCGCTTCTCCAGGGTTCGCGCCCACCAAGCAACTCTAGTGGAAGCGCGGGGCAGCGCGGAGAATTATTCTTTTGGAGGGGATGCACAGTGCACTTCGATTCGGACCCGAACACTCCCGAAGGGCTCGCGATACTTTCCGAAAACACCCGAATGAGCGGCAGACGAGGGGCAGACGCCGTTTCCGTGCCTCTACCCCGCGCCCACCAGGCAACTCAACGGAGGCGCGGCAACACGAGAGGAAGAAATTCTCCACCGAATTCTCACTGCCGGATTCGAGAAGAAGTTTTTTTTCCGCGCCGCGTTGCGCCACCCGCTGGGTTGCTAGGTGGGCGTCAGTCCATAAGATAACATGGCACGGATACGTGGCAACTTTTTTCCACGGCGTCGCGCCGCGCCGCGCCGCGCCGCGTCACCCGCTGAGTTGCCCGGTGGGCGCCTAGCTTTAGTTGTGTATTTTGAGGTTGCTGTACTCTTGACAGCTTGATTTAAATTCCTAACGCGATTTAATATTAACAATATGAAACCAGCGAACTTTTGATAGCTAAAACCATTCACATTTCAAGCTGTTTATGAAATCAATTTTTTAACAATATACCAGCTAAATGTTTTTACATATGAAATTAAATATCACTAAAAACCAGTCTCTATCGATGATTGTTTGAAACAAAATTTGTTTAGAAAATATCTGGTTAGATTTAGGAATGCATGGATGAAACAGTTCAGGCTACTTCAATCAATAATTCCAATCAAGAGAAGTGTATACAGATGACCAAGCAAACCATAACACAAACATGTTTACCTTCAATGAGACAGGGGCCAAATATACAGTTTTTAATTTGGATATTTTATACTAAGAAATTGACAAAACTTTTGAGAATTATAAACTAAAGTAAAGAAAATTGCCTTGTATAGAGGTGTTAGCTGGTTTATACCATTTTGTTATTTCTCTTATAATGGACAAAAAATCGTACAACACGAAGATATATATTACAAAAGGAATAATGAATTGGTTTATTAGAGAATATTTTAAAAAGAAAAGAAAATACAATAGATGTCTCCAAATGCTCTGAGTTTGATCCGAGATAAATCTGAAAATTGTAATTCGTTCACTTTATCTGATCTGTTCAGTTAACTGTTCAACAAATTTTGGAATGTTTGTTATACATAATGTATGTAATGTTGTATTTCTAAAATAAATAAATGACTTCTTGATCAGCATGGTACGTGTTATTAAATTTACAGAAAGTAAATAAAAGAACAATCACCGAAATCGATCACCACTTACCATTTTTTGTAATTATATTTACCGTTTTGTGAGTAACAGTATAGTAGTAAATATATGTTTTAAGTGTTATAAGACGTGCCTTTTATTTACTTTCCGTAAAATTAATAAATTGAAATACTCGTAAATTGATTAATTGAGTTGATACACACGACACCATTCTCAAAGTTGTTTAAATAATTTGAATAAGGTATGTTACTTACAGATTAACGTGTTTAAAGGGTTAATCGGCTTATTTCACATAAAGCCTTTTTTTTGTAAAATGACATACACTTTGTATTCACAAGAAGAAGTAAATTATTCAATGTTCATATACTTGCTTGTCACTGATAGCATTTCAACTCTGGGGGTTCTCCTCTTCTTCTTTCTTCCAGTAGGTCGGAGTCAACCATGGTGTCACTACGTTATCTATAAACCATTCTCTCGAAAACCGAAGATGCACATTATCAGTTTCAAGTAGGTGAAGTCTTCCTTTTTCGTCCAACTCTTTCAAACCTATCCAGTCCTCTTTGTAAAGTTGCGATTCTCTCATTTGTGTTATCTCCTTATCTTGTCCATTAGTGTAAAACCCAAACCAAGAAGAGTCTGGTGGAACCACTCTTTCATCACGTGTAAACTTGAAAAGCACCAAGTTTTTAAATCGCAGTAGATGCGTCTTGTACTCCTCCTTCTTTTTCTTCTTCTCATTGTTAATGTCTGCGATAAACGTGTTCTTCTTGGCGTAAGTCTTGTAGTCAATCGGGTCGTGCCAGTTTTGCGCAACTACAGTGTTGCTCCGAATGATACCCCAGTATGAGATGTGTTTTGCAAGGTATAACGCCATATCATGATACTTGATTTGCCCTACACCATAATATCCTTGGTGTTGTGATCCTAAGGTTATTAGGTTAAACATAGGAGGGTGAGGACATCTTTGTGCTACTGCTCTCAAAAACTGCCCTCCCTGCGAGATTCCCAAGCCGTGGTAGCCATTTTCTAATTTCTTGTCATCGAGGATCATCCTGCAAGCTAGCTTTACTTGTTTGTTCACATCCATAAACAGCGAATTCATCTTTTCCGTAAAAGGACACGAACCGATCACCAAAGAATGGATGTGGGCATCTGGTATTTCCGCTCTTATATATCGAATAATACTTTCCATGTTTTCTTTTGATCGAGCGGTATCATAAATACCATGCCACAAAACAATAGGTGTAGGATTGGTGTAAGTCTCGTATTCTTCTCTGTTAGACGTAACTAGAACAAAACACGTCAGCAACACATACAAAACAACACGAAACATCGCGAAATGCTTAGTGAAACGTTCGACAGATAAAGTGAGCTAGCAGCATTTTTGCGCAAGTGTTTCATACACAAGTGTGTCATTAATCATCGTACTCGTAATGTTAGTCTAAACCATCCAAACATTTGATAAAAAAACCGTTGTAAGTTTGAATAAAATATATTCAGCTGTTATTGAGTTTTTGTGTTAGAAAGTTTGCATTGAAGTTGATCCCAAAGAGCTTCGCTTCGCTCCGCTCAATAATACAATATAACAAATTAAACAGTTACTAAAAAGCATTAAATAATATTTTTTTGTAAAAAACCTACTTCAAACGCTCTAAAAAGAACAAAATAATTTTAATAAAGTAAACTTTTGTAATAGTCAAGCTCACGTATTTCAAGTCGGCGCGGCTGTCACTGCAAATATAAATAAATTAAAGGATAGGGAGTGTATTTTGAAAATCAATGAAACATAGCTGGATAACATAAATATATAAAAAACATATTCACTGTTTTTTTTTATTATAAGAAGTATGTACTTGCATTTTATGTTTACTTCAGAATAAATAGATTATGAAACTAACACGCAAAAATTTCTTTATGAAAATAAAATACCCGCCGCAGCAAACCTGCAGACTAAATGAATTTCTATTAACCTGGCTGGATTTCTACTAAAATATACCCTGAAAATTGTCAGATTTATATCCTATTTAAATAAAATTAATTTTAATGAGTACCTAGGCTTGCTGCTAAAGGGAGGGTATTGAGGTGTGTTTTTATTTCAAATGTTGATAGCTTAGTATAAAATAAACAAAATTGCCAAATTTGATAAAAATACATCCATACACAAGTAAGTGTGCATCAGTTTTTTATTCGCCATAAGAATAACATAAGAATTTTAAATTTAAAGATGTTTAATTATCTCCGTAATCGTTAGGCATATAACAACGCTTGAATATACTAAATTACTTCTTTTTTTAAGCTCTACAAAATGGTCTGAAAAGAAATGGTGAAATTTGTGTTTTAAGGGTCAAAAATGGGAAAAACCAATTTTTACCCCATAAAACCCCCAATTAACCCCCTTTCCCAAAGTCCGATCATGCTGGTTCGCGAACTAGTTCAAATAATCGTAGGTTTACACCATTAGTCCTACATATAAAACTCAACAGTAACCATCTATTACAATAATTACAACAAACAAGATTTTAGACTTTCATTAAAATTATCTTTGCTAAATCTTGCTTATAAAAAATTTATTGGCTTTCTTTTTGTAACTCCATTTTACTTTTGAAAGAAAACTTTAATTCATTATACTTATAGAAGGTAGTCCAATAGTTTCTTTGATTTGTATCCTAGACATAAATTAATATAAATATCGGCTGACAGTCCAGTGACTAATGTGACATTTACTTCCGTTAATTAAGCTGTACTCCTTTTCATAACAATAATTCCCTTTTCTGTCGTTTTCCTTGCTTTTGATTAAAACTTGTTTTTGGTTCAAGTTATAATAAAGGTATTAAAAAACAACTTAAAGGCACTTTAAAAACAAATATCTACCATCCATACCAGTGATAAATATGCTATTATCTAAGGTTTCATATTCTTCCGGGGACCTGTATGCAAGTTTCTTTGGTTGCCTTATATGTGTATAAGCTGGGTATAGATGAAAATGCAAAATTGAGCTATCCATCGTTTACTAACATAAAAT